GTTAGGGCATATTTAACACGAAATTCTAGTTAAGAACAGATTTTCTGGTAATTCCAACCGCAGAACTTTTTTTTCAGTGTTCTTTTATTTGTTGTAAATAGCAAGAAGGTTATTTCATTTTTTAACCCTTTAACGACCCCGGAAAAGAAGGAGGAAATTTTTAAAAGCCAAACATGTTTTTAGAGGTTTTTAGGATGATTAGGAATTCGGGGTCAGTTTTTCGAAATTCAAAATGGCGGATCCAATATGACTTTTTAAAAATCTAATACAATTCGCTTGTATAACTTCTTATTCGGGTTTTTTTTTGGGTCGCTGATTACGAATCTGATTAATATTTAAAATTGATAAGAGAAATTATCACAAGATGATTGACTTTAAGAATTATCTTGAATGTCAGTTTTTAGCAAAAATCTTTAAGGAATTTCTCGAGTCAATTACGTGCAACTGGAAATATCTAAGACATATATAAATTTTCTCCAATATAAGTATAACTAGACATTTTTTTTGCTATAGAACATAATTTTTTTCTCCTTCAGCTTTTTGATTTTCTCTCATAAATGACTGATGTAGAGAATAAATAGACGGTAAAATAAACGCTGCAATTCCGCTTTTCCTCTTGAAAGCGCGCAACTTGTGAAAGTTTACAATGCGCCTTTAAGTGCAGGGACTACGCATTTATGCACTAAACGAGCGATGCCATTTTCTTAAATTTATTTCTCTCCACTAGATAAAAAAGGGAACGGAGTTATTTTTTTATAGGAATTTACTTTAAAGAACTTCAAATGAAGTAAAATGGCTAAAAAGATGCGGAAAATAAAGAGAGCAAGCGCCACCTAGGAAAGAAAATTATAAATTATAGTATATTAGTAGACTGATTCTATCTCAATTCATGCATGGCGAATAGGTTAAAAATTCCAAATCAAGTTAAAGGTAATTTTTCTTGTTCTTTAATTAACAAAATGGCGGCCATTTTTCGATAAATCAAAAAAGTCAATTTTCTCAAAAACATCATTTTTTATTTTTCTTAAAATTTTTGTGTGATTACTAGATAAAAAAAGGAACTTTTTCCTTTTGAAAAAGGGTTTCATGTCCGCTAAAACTGTTTGGAAGTCGCTATAATTTTTTTCAGAAAATAACAAATCTCATTATTTTGAGTAATGTATCGGCATATATATATTTTGCATGTTTATGTTTTTCGATGATTAGTAGTGTTTTTGGTACCTACTTTTTCTTTGCAAACTTGAAAATTTAAAAAATTTTGAAAATTAACAAAATGGCGGCCATTTTTCAAAAAATTGAAAACTAAAAATACTAAAAATAATTGAATAAAAATATTTATTTAAAGGTTTTTGGGGTCGCTGAGTTAGAATATTTGGTTAAAATTTTATAATTCAAAATGGCAACCAAAAAAATTTAACGGTCGCCATTTTGTTAATTTTCAAAATTTTCAAGTTTGCAAATAAAAAGTACTTACCAAAAACACTACTAATCATCGAAAAACATATAAACATGCAATATATATATGCCGATACATTACTCGTATCAACTCTCTAAAACTGAATCAGTGAAATGTGACTGAGAATCAGTGACTCTATTGTCTATTCTCGCGATTTGAATCAGTGAAATTTCACTGAAGATCAGTTAACAATGATTGAAATTTCTGTTTATTTTCACTGATTGGCCAATTAAAAAATAACTGAAATTTTCAATATGTGTGACAAAAATTTTCAGCAGTTTTTTAATTGGCGAATCAGTGAAAAATAACTGAAATTTCAGTTATTTTTAACTGACTTTCAGTGAAATTCCACTAATTAAAATCGCGAGAATAGAGTCACTGATTCTCAGTCAAATTTCACTGATTTTCAGTGGAATTTCACTGATTCAGATTTAGAGAGAAAATAATGAGATTTGTTATTTTCTGAAAAAAATTATAGCGACTTCCAAACAGTTTTAGCGGACATGAAACCCTTTGGAAAAAGTTCCTTTTTTCATCTAGTAATCACACAAAAATTTTAAGAAAAATAAAAAATGATGTTTTTGAGAAAATTGACTTTTTTGATTTATCGAAAAATGGCCGCCATTTTATTAATTTTTATTTTTTGCCATTTTGTTCATTTTCAAAATTTTTCCAATTTTCAAGTTTGCAAAGAAAAAGTATCAAAAACACTACTAAAATCAAGAAAAAAAATTAAAAAATATTTATTTCTGCAAAAACTAGAAAGATTTGAAAATAATTTGTCAGCTGTTTAGCTCTAAAATCACGATATGTCCTAAAATTTTCAAACACTCATAACTCAGCTAAAAAAATTTTTTTCGCCAAATAAAAAAATACGTGTCTCTTTATTTGTCTTAAAGAACAAGAAAAATTACCTTTAACTTGATTTGGAATTTTTAACCTATTCGCCATGCATGAATTAAGATAGATGTTAGATACTTAAGAAGTATATTAAAGAAAAAGAAATTAAAAACGACCGAGAACAAAATAATTGATCTAATTGACATTAGAGATGGAGTTATATTTGTAGGTTGAGTCGAAAGTTACAATCAAACGACATTGATTGAAGATTGGATTTAAAATTTTTGGCTACATAAAAACTGCACTCAATCCCATGATAAATGTTTAAAATGTGACCAGATATAAGAGAACTAAAAGTAATATAAAACATTATAAGCATTGGCCATCTCACCCGGACATTTCGGGAGAGATGGCCAAATGCACTTTTTACAAAATGTAAATTTTGAGATTGTTCTTATGGAAATATTTTATTTTTCGTTACTTTAAAGTTAAGTGTTCAATGTTTAATTATCAATAAAAATTTAAACATATAAATCGCTTTTTTATAATTTTTACAGTATTTAAAAAAAACTATGGCCATCTCCCCCGGACTTACCCTATATATACTCTTAAGTAATTATCACAATGCATTATTATTTATTTGACAAAAAACACGAAAGTGTCCGACTATACCCATACTTACCCTATTAAACAATGGAACAGAGTTATTTTTTATGGGTATAGTATGACTTTAAAGGAATACAAAAAAAGAAAATTAGCTAAGAAGATGCGGAATATTAATTTCAATTCTGAGAGAGAGAGAGAGAATCGCGCGGGAAAATATGAAATTGAGTTTTGGTTAATTAGTAATAATAATTAAGGGGCTGGATGCTGTAATATGTTACGCGCCATGTTAAGTAAATGGCGCGTAACACGTTATAGCATCCAGCCCCTCAATTAATAATAAACTTTTTTTGATACAAAATAAATTTTACAATCACTTAATAATAAAATTTATTTTCCATCAAAAAAAGTTTATTATTTTACTTATACAGTAAATAATAAAATACAATACATAATATAAATAAGTATTTAACTATACAGAAAATAGAATTTACTTAAAAAAGATAATGAATCCTAATTTCAGACTTGTAATACCCGCTCGGTATTTCGTGGGAATGGAGAGTTAATTATCAAATCTCACAACAAAACGTCTGTTCTCACCCAGAATCACTTCTGTCGACATTCAAATGGTCGTCTTTCGCAATAACAAGACAGTTTCGCATTGGCGCTTCTATTTTCGTACATATATGTAGACGTCGCATTTTGCGATGAGAGAAACAAACTGTAAAAGGGGCAAAGAAAGAGGGCGGAGGTTGAGTCAGTAAATTCTTTATACTGACGTTTAAATCAGCGTGAGATGAAAGGCGCACAGGATCGCGCGATAGCATTCGGTTTATTAATGCCCCCCGAAGCATTAGATTTCTCTTTGATCCGCTTATGATGATGATGATGCTACTGTTACACTGCAAGTCACTATGTCAAAATAAAACTCCCTTTAGATTATAGTTCCGCCCTATCCAAGAATTGGAACCATATTTTTTTGCTTTTCCTTTTTTGCAAAACTATATATATACAGGATGTTCACTTGTGAAACGAATGTTTATAGAATGTCGCAGAAAAAAAGTCGTATACATTACTTTTTCAAGTCAGAATACCATATGAATGATTCATTTGATTAACAACCAAATTAGAATAGGAAAGTTAAAACTCTATGTGAAAGCTTAATAAAAATTGAAAAAAAATTTCTATAAATTTCAGATTTTAATATTTGTTTTAAATCAATTTTTAATTTTACAAAAAATCTTAAAATTTATCATTCAATAAATCAAAACTTAAAAACAGAAACAAGATAACAAGTAATAAATCATTACCGATTATTTTCTATCACTTGTGCGGCATAACCATAATTACAGTTATTACGATATTATCAGGAAATATATATATATATAGTCATTATCATAAATTAACACTTAAGCTGATTTGACCCATTGACATAAATAACGGAATTAAATTTTAAGAATAAGATATAAGACCTGGATTAATTTAGACAAATTTTGAAAGTTGTTCCTTTGGATGCATATTTTTTTTAATAATTAAAACCCGTCTGCGTGTAGAGTAAATGCCTTTTATTAATCTTAACTCGATCTTAAATTCATATTCGGTTAGAATAAATACGATCCGATTGCTTGTTAATTAAGACTTAAGGCGTTTTGACTTATTGACATAACCCATTAATGTAAATAACGATTCAAGACATAAAATAAAAATGAATTTCTTTTCATTTCTTTTTTGACAATTATTCTTTCATTGCACTATACATTTTCAGCTTTTTAAAAAAAATTCTCCTTTAAAATGAATAAATTTAAATTTTCTATAATTACAATCGTCTGTTCTTTATATTGAAGCTTAGAACTTGATTAATTATACAATTACAAAAAAATTCATTTGCTTTTAAATGTCAGATTAAGTCAATTTTACATTTTTAAAAAAATCAACGAACAAAAATTATACAGTCTTTTCTTAAGATTGAAAATGAGTTATTGATCGTTAAAAGTGTATTAAAAGTATATCATTTTCATTGAAATATTCAGATGTGTTAAGTAACCATTATTAAATCATGAAAGTGGTGATGAATAATTATTCCGTCAGTTTTTAATTAGAATTGTTGCCATATGATTTTTCAGATGATTTATCGCCTTTGATATTGTCAGTGAGTCTAGATTTAATAGAAAAATTTAATAGAAAAAATGAAAAGTAGTGGTTAATTAATTCGTCTAATTTTTTTAATAGCAGCAAATCTAATTCGTATAGTTTCGTCTATAGAAAAGTTAATTTTTACTTCAATTTATTTGGATACTTCTGCGTTCTAGTGTAGATACCCTGATTTAAAAGTTTTATAGTCTAAAAATATTGTATTTAATCAAATGTGGGAGTTTAAGTACCCGTCAGTCCCAAGAGATGGCGCTAGAAGGTGTAATGTTGAGTGACTGACTAATTCGAGTAATATGTAATGTAAGTAATTCAATAGCAGAAATTCATCTAAAATACATTAATTAAAATAGTGATAACTTTCAGTGAAACAAATCACTGAAGAAGAATATTTGCTGAAAAGCAATATTTCACTTTACACAAAACAAGGTCACAATGATTTTTCGCGAACTTGTATTAATTCTAAGTCAGTCGATGGAGGCGCATTCTGTCAGTTTTGGATTTATGAGACAGTCATATTTCGCAAGTTACGAGTAGTAATTCCCGGCCACCAGCGATTTATAGTCGCGGGTGTCCCTCCTGCGCCATTAATCCTTTCCTTTCACCCCCCTTCCGAATTGAACTTCCACCTATCCTCTATATCCTTGTGGCACAAATCTATATAGTTATATCCGTTCCTTTTTCCAATCCATCCTTTGGACATAATCCCAGGGCACTCTGCCCTTTTTGATCTTCTTTACACACTGATCTAGTCAATGATTGCGCGATCAACCAACTGAGATTAGGTCCATCGATTTATGGAAACTCTCCATCCAATATGTCAGAAACGACCGTTAAAGTCATAGTAAATCAGAAAGCTCCTCGACCTCGACTTGACTCTGTAAATTAAAAGTACGATTAGTCGGTCTCTATATTTCAACATTCTCGATATGTTCGGATATTATCACTGAGGAAACTTTTATTTAACTCCTACTTTCGAAGGAGAAATATATGTGATCTGGGTGAGATGACCTATTGAACTGCGTAATTGAAACTGTCTTTGAAAGTTGTATTTTAGATTGAGTAAGCAATTTTTGACTATAGAAGAACAAAAGTAGGAATTTGAAAAAACTACTATTTAATACAAAGACAAGTTTTCTAGAATTACAGTAAATTGGTCGATTTCAGTTGGTTAGATTCAGAACTGATGGGAATTATGGAAGTAATAGGGGAGATGTACTTATTGGGTTTATATATTATTTATACCTACTGAGACGATCAAGACAAAGTTCAACAAGACCATGCATCAAGTGCTTGGGGACAGAGGGTCATACTTAAATCCCTTATTCCCATGATCATAATTGAAATTATAGCGGTATGGGGATAATATTAACATATTCTTTAAAAAAAAGAAAAAGTTTATTAACTTTTTCCTTCTTGATGAAGAAAAAACTATATTCAGATGAAATTCTGTGCTTGCTTTTTAGAATCGTAATTAAATTTTGTAATAAAAAAAACCTCGACACGTTAATGTGAAATTTCTGTTTTACGTTTCTTCGAAATATTCCATAAGTAGCTTTTGGAAGAATTGTGTAGTACAACTTGTTTAATATGATTCGTGAGAGCGTTGCGCACTTTCATCGCAAGATGAGATAAAATGGCAGTGAAATATAAGTTAGGAAAATTTATCGTGTCTTGTTGAATTTTGTGCGAGCCTGTGAGACGAGAAAAGGGAAATTGCTTGTCGAGTTGCAAGTCTCCAAGTGCAAAAGGTGAGTATGGCAAGCGTTCTTTGAGCTGGGAAGTTCAACTGATTGGCGTGAAGCTCACTGAGCACGTTGACTTTCATAATAAAGAGTAAAAATCACTGCCCTTTGCTGTCGCGTCCATCAAACGCTTAAATTACTTTTCATACATGAATATTTTATCCAACTTGAAGTACTCATTTATGTAACTTCCCCTTTTAAAAAAATATTACACCATCTAGTATAATAATTTATAAATAAATTCCTAAAATTTTGATCGAGATACCCAATTAAAAATTTCACTCTTATGAATTATTTATTAGTCCATAAACTAATGCTTATGGACTAATATTTTATAAGTTTATTATAATTAATAAATAATTATAATTTATAACAATAACTAAAAACAACATTGCAATAATATCTCAAATTCAAGATTCGAATCTTGATGTTTTCATCTACTGGCAAAAAAAGGAGGTCGTTAATCTTTCATATGATGATATGAGCCTAAAATTGAAGTTTTTATACATCTGCACGCATCTGTGCTGAATGGGAATTTACGCAGTGCGTTTAGATAACTCGCTAAAAGCAAAGCTCTATTCGGTTTCTTTGTCGGGTATTTGCAAACGAGACGGAGTATATACGATCATCAAGTAGAAAATGTTCAGGAACTTTCTTGTCGACTCTAATCCAAGATGTGCGGAGAACGTGACTTGCGTATTACTTTTTTGGCACACCTTTTCCATCCGTAGCATGTGCAATGGTTTTCGTTTTACGTCCGCTGATTCTTAGCACTTAGAGGATACAACTGTAAAAGCTGGTGTCACGAATTTTGGAAAGAAGTCTTAAAATGTTATGACTTGGAAAAGCGATGAATTCAAGTTGCAGGGGGAAAAGATTTAGATTATCATTTTCTTTAGGTTCCTTATTTACTGAAAAATAGTTTTCATTTTTTACTTCAACATAGAAGATGCACACTGGGGCATAAGATATCTTTGGAGTCCTAAAAATTACCAAGTTTGGCAATAGCCTGTGAAAAGGTTTCAAAAATAGATTGAAAACATTGGCAAAACCCTGGGTCAAGGTAAATACGTTCTGTGGCACTACCTTGCTAATGAACATTTCCCAGGGTCTGGGAAATAGATATTTCCCAGACCCTTAGCTAGATAGCTAAGGGCGTGACTTCTGAGAGACCTGAGTACTAGCACAAGTGCTTGGCGTTTTATTTTCAGGAAGATTTAACAGAACTAGATTACACTTTCTTTCCGCCGTTCAACAATTTAATTGATGCATAGGCATTGGTCTCGAGTACTGGGTTAACTATTTGTGAACATCCCGCCTCATACTTGTCAAGTCTCTCCTCAACAACAACAAAACGATCAGTCAATTCAACCACTCTACCCTCCATATTTGTGAATCTAGAGAGCGTGTCATCAAGTTTGGTATTTGTGACTATAAAATTCTCCGATATTGTGGTAAAAATATTGGAGACAGTTTGGGTTAATTGCTTTATGGTGCCCATAATGCACTCCAAATTAACAGAAGACTGTGAGCACTAAGAATCAGCTGGTGGGGACAGTAACATTGGCTTACAGTATTTAGCAAATGATCCGTTAGGCAAAGTAGAGGTCTGCATTGTGCAGCTCGGGTGGTAAGGAAGTTCACATCCAGAACACAACGTGGGAGCAACACATGCAATGTCCCTACCACACTTAGTATTCAACTCACGGGAGCACTACAACATAAAAAAATACTCAACCGACTAACTAACTAACTAACTTTGCGTACTTAATAATTTACAAAAAAAAAACAGACGAAAAAGTCTATATCTAAAATGTTATATGAATCAGAGAAGTACACCTTTTGATTAAAATTAGAAAATGCGATCTTAACACTGACCTGCTTCTTACTGCTGTTGTCCACATCTTTACTGTTTGATAAGGGCTCACAGCCTGTCCTTGCACTCACTCCATTGGACAGCGACAATCTGTAACAATAAGAGTTTAATACTAATTATTGTGCATATAGAACGACTTAAAATTAGGAGTACTCGCATTTGCCTGGACCACCCGTCTAATGGGTTTTCCCCTCAATAATCTATAGTGCACATAATTATAGCTGGAGTCGAAGTGCGATCACCAAGTTCTAACTCTGTACTCAGGTGTGCTTAACCCCGACGAAGCCATGGAGCCTCACCACCGTAATGTACACCACCGTTCAAAAGTATCAGGACGATTACATTCGACTCTATAAAAAAACATGCCATCACTTTTTCAATCATATCTCGGAAATAAAAGGAGGTAAAAAAAACTTAAATACGGTTAGAAAGCTGATTAAATTCTGCGTAAAATAAGCCGTCTTTGAAGTCATTTCGTTAATTATTTTTTAAGTTGTAGAGTGAGAAAGAAATAAAAAAAATATCAAATTTTCTCATTTTTGTCTCTTGATTTCAACTTTTTCAAAAATCTAGAAAAATTTAGATAAAATTTTTCTAAAAGCACAGAAATCTTCGTTAGAATTTCAGCTTTAAAATAAGCCTTCAAAAATTAAAAAAGGTTAATCCGTCTTTGATATATCATTAAAAATGTGAAGCCGTGTTTCGACCGATTGGTGCATTGAAATTTAACTGTGACGACTCGATTCTGGCTTCGCGCGGCTGCAAATGAGAGAGAAAGCAGGGACGAATTCATGCGGGGGAACGATGAACTTTTGAGTTTCTTTATATTACTCGTGAAACATCATTATTTATTATTCTCCAGCAAAAATTCGTCCCTGCGTTTTCTCTAATTCGCTGCCGCGCGAAGCCAAAATCGAGTCGTCACAGTTGAATTTCAATGCAACCAATCGGTCGAAACACGGCTTCACATTTTTAATGATATATCGAAGACGGATGAACCTTTTTTAATTTTCGAATGCTTATTTTAAAGCTGAAATTCTAACGAAGATTTCTGTGTTTTTAGAAAAATTTTATCTAAATTTTTCTAGATTTTTGAAAAAGTTGAAGTCAAGAGACAAAAATGAGAAAATTTGATAATTTTTTTTTATTTCTTTCTCACTCTACAACTTAAAAAATAATTAACGAAATGACTTCAAAGACGGCTTATTTTACGCAAAATTTAATCAGCTTTTTTACCATATTTAAGTTTTTTTTGTACCTCCTTTTATTTCCGAGATATGATTGAAAAAGTGATGGCATGTTTTTTCATAGAGTCGAAAGTAATCGTCCTGATACTTTTGGACGGTATAGTGTACCATCGGTTGAATCATCCCATTATACTTTCTTGGTGAAATGTGTAGATAAAACATATACGTACCATTCCAAGTAAAAAACCGTTAGCGAACTTCTGTCTCTCTAGAAACTCCGCAGAAAGTCTGCTGGTTTAAAATATTCAAAAATTATAGAATGACAGTTTTTTTATATTTTTGCATACATTCTGTGGACAAATTAACTTGGGAGGGAGGACTGGCATAGACTTGCGCTGTGGCGACTGGGTCAGCTGTACCCTGGTTCAGAAGAACTATAATCTCAATATTAAAACAAGTATCTACTTTAAGGCTGAAGCACCAGGCGACATAGAGAATTTGCGTTAAAACCAAAACGACGGTAAAAGACAGTGCGCCATCGGAGGACTGACACAGACATGTACCATACCTAAAAAGATACTAGTGCCACAAGATAGATTATGCTCAGAATGCAAGAAAAAAGATGTCCGATGAAATGGAGAAACACTTAGTTGCATTCGTATTGACCCCGATGATATTCCATCGTAATGGAGTAAATTAGCGACGTCAAACCTCGTGCACTACCAGCGGGGACCTCACGGAGGTTTTGCTTCCAGACCAAAGTGTCACCATGCTTGTACAAAATAAATGGGTGAGTCGTATCAATATTAGACTTGCTCTGACCATCATCATCGGTATGCTACTGCTCTACGAGAAAGCCCAGACTTACAGGTGACCTATTCTGCAAAAATGACAGAATGATAGAAATTCATCAGCAAGCTTTGGTTTGAAACTACATATATGTATAATTACATCAGAGCTTTTTGGAGGCTGTCATAAAGCACTGAACAGAGCCTGAAAGTTGTGCTTCCAGATTGGAGGGACCTCATTACTCTGCTCTGAGTTCTTGGTCACAGTGAATTCAAGAGTTATGATATAACTACATCAAGGATTAGAGAATCAATTATATTAAAGCTAAATTTCCAATTGGTATTTCTAATAAATGCTTGACCCTGGAATTCAAACAGTAGCAGGGATACTCTTCCAACATCAACTACATTGTTATTAGCTTTCAAAAGAGAGTTTATAGCATAGTAAAGTTTATATAAATTTGAATCTCTTTTACCCTTTACCATGAAAATAGGTCACACTCTAAATTACCCTCACAAAGGCCAAGTTAATGAAGATAAATGCATTTGAAACGAGATAAAGAAGTAAAATTGTTCTTTATTTAAAATCGTTGCGGTTAATTGACGAAAAGCGATGGTCGACGAGCTGGAAATAAAATTAAAATTGACAGTAGCACTTGGTTGTTTCGCCTGAAATTGCCATTCGTTATCTGTTGAATAACTGACAGCGGTAATTGAGACTCTGGCGCGGCAGCCTCATACATCTGACGGAACGATAATAAACTGGTCAATTATGGCATATCGGGAGGAGAATCGAGTTCCATTCTTGAAGGCGGTATAGCTTCCGGCCAGACTTTCACGGGACTCTTGGAACTAGCAAGCCGTCAATTAGTGCCATCGCCAGTGTCCGTGAGATGGACTTTTTTAAAGAAAAAAAAACTCCACTCTTCACAAAGAATTTTATGGCAGTCATACCCGTCACACAGTATACAAGTCCACACTTAAACATTAGTGCCCGATTAGCAGTCGATTATGCCTGTCGTGTGGAGTCGTTAAGGAGATATGAGAATAAAGTAAAGACGTGAATTACGAGATACTTTTTATTTTCAAGATAACTTTTGTAAATTCACTTGCCATTCAATAGGGTCATTATTTTTTCTCATTCTGTGTGGTAAGTTAAATGTTTGTCATTTAATACCTTAACTGATTGGGATTTTTCAAAAATCATAACATAATCATATAAACTTTAATCCAATGCTGTAAAACTTGTCTTCAATAAAGCACAATCTGTTTTAGCGATGAAGAATAAATATTTCTCAAATGATTCAAAACAATTGTTTCTCCAAACGATATTTATTTGACAGTAAAAAATTTTTTTCAGTAAATAATAAATGCTTGGTTCTTTTATGACATAGGTATTAAATAACAAGTTTTCGGGACTGAAAAACAATTTTTTTACAATTTATATATAAAATAACGTATTGTTTATAGCGCGGTAGATAAAATATTTTTTATAATACCCTCTATTGGAGGTAATTTAAATGATGGACGGTAAAATTCACTCGAAAGGGCATTGGAGAACAATTTCATCGTGTGGAGAGGGGTGCGGTGGTGGTGGGGAAGAGGGGCATAAAATCAATGGGCGAATGATTGCTCATCGTAACAAATGATTATTACGCAATGGGTTCGTGGAACGAACATCAATTTCATTCGACTCGCGACGTGGGGCATGTTTTGTGAGGAAAATATTTTTCGATATTGCGGCGTTGGCACGACGGCTCAATTACGGCATATCCTAATTACGGGTATCGTAATCGACGCCATTTTAATGGTTCTAAATAACTGTATTTTCATGCATGCAACGAAAAGTATCGAGCCAAGTTTGCACACATATAATTTAACTGTCTATTTTGCTTGCAAAATCTTGTTGAATAATAATTACAGTAACTATTGGATTAGTGCTTTTCGCGGAAAAAATTGTTATCTTCTCTGACTGTATACATTTATTTAAAAAGGGGGAACAAACTCTAGGAAAGCGATTGGAAAAAAAATCATGAGATGATTTACACTCTTTTTTATTTTTTGCACTTTTTCAAATTGTGGAATAATTAATTTCTTTTTGGTATGTGAGAAAATTTAAATTAATGACCCTTTCCTATTTCTAACTTTTGGCCATAATAGTTCCCTCCAGACGTCCAGTCTGACGATTTCTGACCCCACGGAGCGTTAGCAACAGCAGAGGGTCAAACCATCATTGTCCATGTAAATAAATTATTTTATCTTAATTATTTTAGAGATTTTAATTTTTATCATGATAAAATGTCTGCAAATGATATATGTAATTTTTTCAAGAGATAATGTGCACCAGATTCTGGAATATTTCGAAAACTGTATAACATTCTCCATACCAACTTTCTTCAATTCTCCCTTTGTGTCTCAATGTAATCTCAGGAGTTACGATTGTTTTTATTTCTCGAGATATGAAAAAAGGAATAATTTAATACCTTTGATTTTTTACATTCGAAAGAACGCGTTTGCAAATGCATTTGAAAAGAATATCGCTTCTGTGTCTATAGGTGGCATCGTTCCAGAATATCTCCCAATTTCCGCATCGATAATAAAATCCGGCACAAGTGTGTTGTATTGGCTCTGGCATTTATTGCAAATAGACTCACAATACTTATTGCGTCGTAACTATAATATAAAAGAAATATTTTGAAAATGGTGACATTCTTAAATAAACTGTTTTGAAATTTTGTTTTGTCATCATTCTTTAAAGTATGAGATCTCATATTATTTGGAATAATTCTTTTAGGTGAAACTCTGAGCTATTAAATTTTTATTATCATCAATCAGTTTGAAAAACCTTGCAACAATTTTGCGGAAATTTTTTTCTCCAGTAACCTTACTTACGTTCTATTTAGAGATTCCTGCACCGACATGTTACCGATACTATTTAGTCCAGACTGAAACCACTTGTCCCAAGCATCATGATCTGAATATCACCTCTCCCCCTAAATTGTTTTTAGTCTGGGATAAGTTGTTTGAGTCTGGGCTAAAAAGTGTCGGTAACATGTCGGTGCAGGAATCTGCACTCCCTTAATATCGTCAAAAAAAGGAATTCACGCGAAAATAAAATTTACGTCGATGTAAAAGAACCCAGCAGAGCAATAAATCAGAAAAAAATACTAGGCGAAGCTCATGTATATTTTATGGTAACTTGAACTCCAGCTGCTAGGTGGCTCAAACCCTTGGTCCTGTCCACGTTCCACTCTCTTCACTCTTTCTCCTCTAATCTTCTTTACACTGCAAACGTTCGGCCATAAATTCAAACGTTAACGACTCGAGGGCCCGCCAGGGAAAACTGTACTGACGTTCTACTTAATTTCTCGTTAAGTCTTGCCTTTCATAGTCCCAAGTAAAAGCGTGTATACATTGCACACACGCGCGCGCACATATAGAGAGAAAAGAGAGGAGAATCAAGAAAGCAACAGATTATCAATGACGTCGATCGAGAGTTGAGATCGTTAAAACTCCAGGACTTTTCCAATGGACAAGTTAAGAAGATCAGCTTTTCAAGTGAAACTCCACCATGTCCCCTAACCATCATTAGGATCTTCATCGAGATTCCCAGACGAGAGTACAAATCTTTAATGATATTGCCTCCCGATATTGGAAGTCTTATACAAGCTAAAATGGTTTCCATTCCTTTTTCAAAGCGTGAGAATGTAATGAAAGCTGTCGCATGTTATTTGTAATTGTTTTTTATTTTACATTCACTGGAAATTGTAATACATTTTAGAAAAAAATTCCTGTTTACAAAAGTCTCTTTCTCTCTCTTTCTTTTCCCCCCCGAGGGAAAATTAATTTCAAGATCATTATTCGCAGGTGGAATAAGTATGATGACATTTTCAGTAAGAAATATGTATAGCGATATGTAACACACCCAGAGAGATCTGACAAACTTCAGCCAAAATATGTGTATGTACATCTATTTTCAAGAGAACAGAGTCTCTTCGCAGGGGTGACATTTAAATAGAAACATCTGTAGTGTCTGCAAATGAAAACTAAAGTGTAGCAGCTGCAACGCATTTTGCACACGATAGACATTAAATTTTAACACTATAATTAGAATGTGATGTTCATTATTGAGAGCAATATATAAAAACTTATTTTCTATAGAAACTTTGCAATTCAAAAGCATCGAAAATTATATTAAGTGGTAAGGATAATAGACGCCCAAGGCACAAGGATATCCTTGTGGAAATCTTCCCAAGTTTTCCCAACTTTTAGTTGGGCGCCAATTGGGGCCCAGGTGGGCGTCCCATTTTAAAATAATGAAACAAATTATAAAATAAGAAATATGTTATTTTCAAATAAATAATTAAATAGAGAAAAAAATAACATTTTTAAACTATTCTTACTGTTTAATTTCATAATCTATTCGAATTGAAGGCAAAACAGTATACGTGTATTGTAATTGGATTTATGTAGGGACTGTCCATATTTGGGACGAACTTGGGAATATCAGCCAAAGCCCATCTTTTCCGCAAATGAACTTAAAATGGTTGAATACGTCAGCTATACACTGCAAAAACTGGTATCTCACTCGTGTCTTAAAATGAGTTGCTTTAAGTGTTTAAACCATTGAGATACAAAATCTGTTTTATGTTGAGACATTTAATTTCATCTCGTGTCTCATTTTAAGACATTAAAGGTAACTCCATGCGTATAAGACACGTAAAACAAGTCTTAGTGTGAAACGGATACTCGAAACACATTTCTTGTCTCAAAATGCATTGCTAAATGTGTAAGACACTTTAAAACGTCTTAAAATGAGACACATATCTGTTTCAAATATGTGGACTAAGACATCTTATGTGTTTCAAATATGGGACAAAACGTCTCAAAATGAGACACTTGTTTTTGCAGTGTACTCTTATATGAAAATAAATAAATAATTACTGAATTAATTACTGAGGACGAATTATTGGATTAATTACTGGATTTATTATTAGATATGTTACTGGATTAATTACTGAAAATCCTGTAGTTATTTAGCGTTAAGCACTAATGCGCCTGCGTCGATCTACCCAGCTGTTGACTGTCATGGCGTAGTAGGGTAGCGTCCTTAGATCAAACAGCGTGGGTTTGTGGTGTGTTGTCCTGTTTTTATAATTTTAAATGTTTATTGTAGTTTAATTTCCATATTTTTGTAAATTACTGTAAACAATGGTTGGTTGGTTTTGTTTTTCTGCGCCTTATATGTGTTCCCTGTCGGATTTCAGAACCAAAAGTGGAATTTTGGAACGATCACGGTTTTTTGCCCAGAGACTTGTTAGCCAATATTGTGACAGTTATATTGAGTCTTAGAGATTTCATGCAAGATTCTCATTTGCTTCCAAAATGAACAATTAATATTAAATATTTTACTATTACTATTGTATAAATAAAAAATAATACATTGAATTTATTGATCCTGGCATTAATCCTTTTCAATTTTTATTTTTTCGTCCTTAACGTGAAAAAACTACTGGATTCACAATAATTCATCCAATAATTAATTCAGTAATGAATCTAGTAAGTTTTGTTATTATTATTTTATTTACAATTTTTTTTATTTTAATAAAGAAAATTATGCAAGAGCATATTTTTTTATATCTTAGAAATATAATTTACTTTGTAGAATTATAGAATAAAAATGACAGTGACTGTGATAAAAGTGAGTAAAAAAAATTAAAATTATCAATAATTTGAATATTTATTGGAAATTTTAATGGGAATCCACAAGATTACCCAAATTGGGTTCAGATAGATTTTCCAAATTGGGTCCAACTAGATTTCCCGAATTGGGAATAAGTTGGTAAAATAGTTTCAAGCCAAGTCATAACCCAAATTGGGATAAGATGGGCTTCCCAATTGGGCCCCACCTTGAACATGGGAAAACCCAATGGGCGTCAGTTTGGGCCCAGTCGCCTTTTCCACACGGGTATAAGTATAATATTAGTAAACAAAATAATAATGATATTTGAACAAAACAGTAGTACTTGATGTTGATAAGAGGAATATTGATATTAAAAAGAGGAATTAACTATAAAGTATTCAAGTGAAATTTGATGAAATGTAATTTAGATGATGAATATTTTTCCACTGAATTTATACACATGCTGCTTGAAAGGAATATGTATATACATATACATATTGTACATTTCAATATCAAGCGAACGATCAACAGGCGCTTATTAGGATTATGAAAGGTATCGCATAATATCGTCCGCCAATCTCCAAGTTTCGCTTGAAACTGAAACATCCATGTACGTCGAGATAATTAGTTTATTATCTCCACGATGTGTAATTACCGGACGTAACGAACACGTAGATACATGGCATTCTTGATTGTCATCATTAACGTCACGCGTTGGGTGTTAACTTGTTCTATCTTCCATAGTACCTCGACACACAGTGCACGAAAGCACGAAATGCAGATCTGGCACATCGCACGTATATACATATATATGTACTATAAAACAGCAGACACATACTGGCTAGCATTCTGACACAAAATAAATTCCCTCTTTGTGAATATTTAATTATATGATGACAGAATTTCGATTAGATTAGTAATTATTAAATTGAAACAAAAAAAGGAGAAGAGAGGTGCATTTAGGAGCGGAGAGCAATAACAATTAGACTTCATTAAAAGTTTGTTTAAACTGAGGTTTAAACGATCTGTTGATCTAGATCTCCTGAGTAGGGTTATACTTAAAATATTAGGGCAAGTCCGGGGAAGATGGACATAGTTTTTTAAAGGATTGTAAAAATTATAAAAAAGTGTTTCTTGTCTTAACTTTTATTGATAATTCAACATTGAACACTTAACTTTAAAATGACGAAAAGTAAAATAAAATATTTTCATAGAAACAATCTTAAAATTTACATTTTTCAAAAAGTGCACCAAGATGGCCACATGTGTGCGGGAGAGATGGCCAATACTTATAATTTTTGGCTTTTAGCTAAAACTTAATTTTTAATCGTTCACATTACTTTCCTCTTTTTCTGGTCGTATTTTAAACATTTTTAATCCAATTAAGTGCAGTTTTCATGTAGCCGAATGTGTCGAATACTATCCTCAATCAAAATCGTTTGGTTGTAACTTTCGACACAACCTACGAATAGATCGTCATCTCTGCGGTTTCAATTAGATCAACTATATTTTGTTCTCAGACATTTTTAATTTGTTTTTCTGTAATATTTCTTGAATATTTAAAATTAACATAAAAAAATTAAAATAAAAGTCACTTATTATTAATATTAAATAAATAAAATAATTTCTCCCTTAACTTTTTGTTTATATCAAAGTGTAGGGTATGTACTACTTAATGAAATTTAAAATTAAAAATCATCTTAAAAAATGTAAATATAACAATAAGAAATCTAAATTTCAATTTTATTATTTTTCAACAAATTATTTTTTACATTTATTATTAGTCACAAAATGTTGAAAAATAACCAATAATAAGTGTTATTTTTTTTACAAATTCTGTAAAATATTTGAATTGACCATCTCTCCCGGACTTATCCTATCAATATTTTGCTAATGCTAAATTTTTAATTTTTTAGGTCCTAAATACAGGATAACA